ACAAATTCTTTGATGACATTTACTATCTCATAGGAAATAATACTAGCAAATTTACTTAGTGAAAGAATGTTCAGACTTTTCAAGGTTTCCACTGAAAAGTACACAAGATGAGCATAACCATGGAACAAATACCTACTACCCAAATCAGAGCTGGAAGGCTAGACATCTGCACAAGATAGTCTCTTTTAAAAGGCAAAACCAAACAATAAGAAATGATAACAAGAAGAGAAAGAGATCTCTGTAATAGAGTTTGAAGTCAGGTTCCTTTATTGTATAAGATTGTTTTGGCTATCCTGGGTTTTTTGTTTTGCCATATAAACTTGGTTAGAGTAACCCCAAGATATTTTATGCTATTTGTGGCTATCGTGAAAGGTGATGTTTCTCTGATTTCTCTCTCTGCTTCTTTATCCTTTGTGTATAGGAGGGCAACCGATTTTTTGGAGTTGATCTTGTATCCTGCCACATTACTAAAGGTGTTTATCAGCTGTAGGAGTTCTTTGGTAGAGTTTTTGGGGTCGCTGATGTACACTATCATATCGTCTGCAAATAACGAAAGTTTAACGTCATCCTTTCCCATTCGAATCCCCTTGATCCCCTTATGTTATCTTCCTTGAATTTAATGAAAATAAAGACACAACATACTCAAACCTATGGGACACTATGAAAGCAGTGCTAAGAGGAAAGTTCATAGCACTAAGTGCCCAATTAAAGAAAACGGAGAAAGCACACATTGGAGACTTAACAGCACACTTGACCCAGGAGTGATTTAATAGTTGACAGTTCAACTTCCATGAGTTTGTTGGCTTCCTGGGTGTAGCACTGTTGTTGAATTCTAACTTTAATCCATGGTGATCTGACAAGACACAGGTGGTTACTAATATTTTTTTGTATCTGTGGAAGTTTGCTTTGTTACCAAGTAACACTGGACTTAACTCCCTAGGTCCAAACGAGAAGCAGAAGGAAAGAGAACGTGAGCAAGGAAGGCAAGATCAGAGGGAACCTTCATCCGAGGATGGATGGCGATACAGACAGAGACCCACATTGGAGCACTGGACGGAGTCCCCCAAGGTCCAATTGAGGAGCAGAAGGAGGAAGAACATGAAAAAGGAAATCAGGACCGGGAGGGGTGCGATCACCCACTGATACAAGGGGACTGATCTAATGAGAGTTCACCAAGGCCAGTTGACTGGGACTGAGCGAGCACGTGATCCAGCCAGATTCTCTGAATGAGGCCGGATTCTCTGAAAGTGGCTGGCCCGGAGTCTTTCTGAAAAGCCATTGACAATGACACTGGGACTTGTTTCCTCTGCATATACTGGATTTCTGGGACCCAGTCTGTTTGGATGCTCACCTTCCTGGACCTGGAGGAAGGGGGGAGGAGCTTGAACTACCCACAGGGCAGGAGACCCTGACTGCTCTTGGAGATGGAGAGGGAGGAGGGGAGGGAGTGGGGAGAGTGGGAGGGGGTTGGTAGGAGGGGCAGAAATGGAGACTTTTGTATTTTAATAAACTTTGAGAAAAAAAAAGAAGAGAAAGGGAGTCTGGGAGGAGCAGGGGTTTGGAAATGAATATAATTCGGATATGCTATATAAAAGTCTCTAAGAATTCATAAAACATTATATTACAAAACACCAACAGCCCTTATGAAGACATTTTCTCTATTATTAACCACCCCAGAAGTAGTCATCAAAGTGGCATTTCACACAATAAATTTATTTTACCCATGTTTTAACTCAGTATAAATTCATATGTCATATATTCTTTTGTTTTTTAAATTTAGTTCATTTTACTTAACACTGCTATTTGTGCAACTTTTCCTGTATCTGGTAGTGATCATTTGTTTCTTCTCATTTCTGGGTGGTATTCCATACTGTACATATGCTATGCTTCTTTATCTAGTCTGCTGTAAATAGGCATTTATTTGTGCACTTCTCAGTTAGGTGCCACTAAGAATAGTGCTTCTATGAAGATTCTATAACATATTTTTTCAGTGACATATATAAACACTCTGTCAAATATACGTGTACCTATGGGTACAATTGCCAGGCCCAAAAGATGGCCACATGTTCAACTTCAGTGGAGACTGTCAAAAGGATTTCCAAAGTACTCAAAGACTATGCACATTTTTATTTTCAACACAGATTGCCATTCCAAAAGATTCCTTCCCCTAAAACCCAAACTGCATGTGAGATTCCATGTGGAACCTTTCACTATAGTAGGAGTAACTCATTAAAAGGAGGTGAGGCATGGTTGCACACCTTCAGTCATAGCATTCAGGGAAGCTGAGGCAGGTGGATTGCGACAACTTTCATCCCAGCCTGGTCTGCAGTCAATGATCCTGTCTCAAACAAAACAACAAAAACCAAAACTTTACCATTTAGGCAAAAATAATAATAATAATTTCTTGCTATTGTTTCAGTTTGAATTTCCTGATTGTCAAAGAACTTCACATAAAAGATAGTTAAATAAGCTAAATTAAGAATTTAAAAATATTCACATCATTTCCAAATTGGAGCTATTGGAACATTTGTCTTGTTCTGATTATCTCAGAAGGCTTTGTTTTATATTAATGAAATCAAGGCAGATTTTTAAATAATAGTTCTGAAAACATGCATATGCTTAAATTAATGCAAGAGTATGTTTTGAGACTTCTATTTTTAATTTTATTCACTAATCAGTTTTACTGGACATACATTTTGCTCAAGTATATTTGAAATAGAAATAGAAACCACCATGGACACAAAGGAATTGTAGTTTTTCAGGATCTTACTTCCAATAAAACTTTTGCTCAAACCTTTATGTTCTGTATCTCAGGTTTTATTCCTATAATCAGTTATAAACAAAGTTGCCACACATCTAATATCCTATGTGCTGTATGCTATGACATGACAATGTATAAACTCAGCTGGGCAGTGTTAGCGCACACCTCGAATCCCAGCACTCAGGAGGCAGGTGGATGTCTCTGAGTTCGAGGTCAGCCTGGTCTACTAGACTCCGGGAGAACCAGGGCTGTTTACATGGAAAAACCCTGTTTTGAAAAACTAAAGGAGAATAAGGAGGAGGAGGAGGAGAAGGAGGAGGAGGAGAAGGAGAAGGAGGAGGAGAAGGAGGAGACTCTCTTCACAAGTGATTTCTATTCTATCAACTGTATAGATCCCCCAAGTGACTATCTGTAGATATTCAGTGAAATTAACTACGCAAGCCACATGGGCAATAACAAAGTAAGAGACTAAAAACTGAAAAAGAAAAACAAACAAAAATTGCTGGAGTAATAGGCTGTGTTGAAGGTCCAGAAGTGAACTGAAGCTTGAAAGCTGGTAGGATTTTCCTCACTTGTTGAAGCTGAATTGGAAGCACAGGTTCATGCTGGCACTACGGGAGAAAGTGGGTTGGTGGGGAGGGAGCAATGTACAAAGCATAGAAAAGAAGAGGAGTAGCATATAGGAACTAAGAAAGCCCAGCTCACTTCTTATATGGAACGTAGGCAGGAGGGTCTTAAGCGAAAATAAGCTGAAAAAGTGGGCTAAAGTCAGAGAGTCACCGCTGACATGATTTAAGCAGCACCAAGCCCTGTACCGTTGTAAAAGTCTTTCCTCCAATGCAGGAAGAAATTGACCTATGGATTCTGAATAGCAACTCATGTTGTTGCACCTAACTGAATAATCTTTAAATGCACAAAGTCAGGAGACTCGCTGTTGAAAAGAAAGTGAGCTGGGATGGCATATGTCAATACCAAGGACAGACTAAGTGAGTCTCAGGGCATTCTGCGTGAAAAGTGAGGAAAAACTAAAGCAAAAGAGAGTCTTAGCTTTAATGAAAGATTTCGAGGAATGATGATTTTCAGTGGCTGTTTTGTAACTAGGGGGGAAGCTGAATATGGAGATGGGAAGCAGAGAGGCAGTAGAGGAGTGAGCAGGTCAAGGAAATTCCAACCATACCGAGGAACACACCCCAAGATGCGGATTAGGCTTTCATCTATTCTAAGGACATTGGAGAGTGGTGCAACCACTCCTTGGTATCTATGTGCATGCTTGAATATGTGTAGACAAATCCCTTTCCCCATGTTTACTTCATCCTGCCAACAGTCAACTCTATGCACATAAACCAGGGTACTGATTTAGAGCTCAGCAAAAGAAAATAAGATCCTAACTGTGAGTATCACTCATTGTACGCTGTTGCACAGATTTATTTCCTCCTCCTCTCATCCCTATTCTTTCTCATCCTTCCTCCTCCCCTTTCCCACTCACCATACTCCCTCCTCCCTGTCCCTGCTCTTCTTGTCCCTATTTTTCTCATCCTTTCTCCTCCCCTTTCCCACTCACTACCCTCTGTCCTCCCTGCCCCTCCTCCTCTCATCCCTATTCTTTCTCATCCCTCCTCCTAGCCACTTTCCCACCCACCACCTTTCCTCCTCCTTCCTGTCCCTCCTCCTCTCATCCATATTCTTTCTCATCCCTCCTCTTCCCCTCTCTCACTCAAGTCCCTCCCTCCTCCTTGGCTCACTCTCCCCCCTTTTCAGTCACCTCTTACCTCCTCACCCTTCCCCCTCCTCCCATCTCTCTTCCCAATACCCCTCCCCTTTTCCATTCCTCTCCCACCTCTCTGTCCTCCCCCTCCTCCTATATTCTTCTTCTCTCCCACCATCCTCCTCTACCGGTCCTCCCCTCACCCTTCCCATTCCCTCTTCTGTTCCTCTTTCTTCCTGATCCCCACCCTCCTTTCAACTCCCCCACACCTCCATAGTCTTCCTTCCTCCACCCACACTCCCTGGTCTTCTTGTCCAAAGGACTAAGTTGTAAAGTAGCGCGCCTTTGATTTTCAATAAAAGAAATATTAAAACAGGCCAGACTGATTACTTTTATTTTAAGCACATCAAGTTATTGAAAGGATGGCTTCATGTAAATTGTCCCTTAGGAGCGATTGCAGAGCTGAGGAGAGTTTCTAGATGTTGGCATGCAGAGACTTCTCAACTGCAATCTGGTACTGAGTTTCCTCATCAGTTACAGATTCATGAAATCTCCATAATAAAATTGATGTCTCTCACTTAGATGACTAATGAAATTTCTGACAAGTTGAGTAGGGTCACCCAATAGAAGAGAGAGACAACTCGGGAAAATGGCTGGAACAATATATGCTCCGTGGTTGCTGTTACAATGCAAATGCTGTCTGGTCATGTTTGCTTCGCACAGAGGAGAATGAAAAAGTGGCTGATCAGATGGGATTGCACTGTCTTCTAGATAAGCCTCGGCATTTTCAGAAGTGGTTGCCTCACTGTTGCTGTTGCCCACGGAGGCATGAGACAGTTGGAAGCTTGAAAGACTTGAAGAAACTCCAAACTCATCTTGATACTATTTTACAAGTTTTGTAATGTTGTCTCATGTGACAGAGTTCAATATGTTGGGAACAGTATCAGCAACTACCAGGAAAACTTCTCATAACTGTCTCCAGGTCTAGGGCCCTCACTGCACATGATCTTTCTCGTCCAGTCACATTTCCACGGCACAGGGGCAACGGATCCCTCTCTTTTTCATTGCAGTTAGGAAACATTTTCAGCAGAAAACATGCTGACAGGCCCCAACCCGAACTGGTGCTTTGAAAACTTCTTGACAGATCGAACAGTAGAAATCACCTTCGGTGTAAGGCGTGGAGGCAGACTCAGCCTCTGCCATGGTGGTGACAGGTGGAGGCCCAAGGTGATGGGGGCTGTCAACTCACAGCTGCGGAGGTGGTGGTGGCAGCCTGGAGCTTGATTCGCTCTGACCCTCCAAGTGGTGCATCAGGTCAAATTACGTCTCTCTGCTGTAGAGGGGTGGTCCCATGTGGTCCAATTTCAGTCCATTACTGTTCTGAAGTTGACTGTGCTTTGGTGTAGTGGAAACCCAACAAATGAAGGGTGTTGCTCTGTTCTCATGGGCCTCAAAGCCCACCAGACCCGAAGCTCATGGTAATGTGGTCCCTCCCACTCCGCTGGCAGCCTTACTGTGTTTGAACTACTGTCTGCCTAGCTGGTGGTCACTGCAGAGTGGATAGCCACACTACAAAGGCCTCCTTAGCAACCAGCCCGTCACACCTTCAGCTGGTAGTGACATAAGCTGCACCAGGTCGATTTAATTTACAAAGATTTTTTTTTAAGTCTAGGGGGGTCTGGTGACACAGGCTTATAATCCCAGCCAGTAAGAGAGGCTGAGGCAGGAAGATCGTGAGTTCTAGTCCAGACTGGGCAACTTAGGGAGAAATTTAGGGGGTCCCTCATCTGGAAAAAGTAAGAAGAGTTCTATGAATAGAGCTTAAAGATTCTGTTGCAGCATGTACGAAATGCTTGGTTTAATCTCTAGTACCGCATAAAGTCCCCCAAAGAAATTCTTCTGTGTGGCCAATTAAGGATCACTGTTTTCAGGCAACTGTTTAACAGCATATTGGTTCTCCTACCTACACCAAGTTTCTTAACTCCTCAGCCATACACATGTGCACACACACACATACTCACATGCATGCGCTTTTAAAAGGCCAACAGAGAATGCATATGTGTATCATTTAAAATTCCTATGGAGGCTATTATCTTCATTAATTCAGCTTTCCAGTCCTTTCCTTTCATTAATGGGAATTGAAAAACCTATTAGTCTTCAACTCTGTCAGGTGAGACCTTTAAGTCCAAGGCAGGAATCTACAACCTAATTAGCTGACCTCTTATCAGACCCCTGCTTTAGAGTTTTCCCACCTGTACTGCAAACCCAAGCAAAGAATTGTGTGATGTTAACTATATATGAGCTTTTCAAATCATCTATTCTCAGACCCAGACAGGTAAAGTGTTTTCTTTCATCTTACCCAAAAGTCATCAATGTCCTAGATACTTTTACAGCATTGACAGCCTGACTCTTTGCCATCAACTTGCATTTCTGAACAGAATCAGTCTCCCTAGTCACCTAAAGCTATGGGCAGTAACAGAAAATGTCTTATGAAGGTTTTATTTCTGTTCACTGAAGAAATTCCCAGCCAAATATCAGGTAAATATGTCCCTCTGATCTTCAGTATTGCTGCCTGTCTTTTTACATGGTACCATCTATGCTCCTGGCCACTCCTCTGAGGATACTCAGGTACCCTAAATCCAAAGAGGAACAGTGATAATGGGGTGAGAGGAAGTTTTGGAGTACAAACGACACTAAAGGACAGGTGGTTCTAGACCAAATGTGCCTCCTGCATGACTTGATGACACACCAAGAGCCTCTGATCACTCATCTGTGAAGTGGGACCAGGAGCGGCGATTGAAACAGTTCACAGTTTTTGGGAAATATCAAATGATACCATACTTATGAAGCTGTCCTCAACCTCTCCTCATACTCACAATGCTTGTTGCCTGTTTAGACCAGTTACTAGATGTGCCTGTGTAGTCAAGGGAAAATAATAATGCCAGAGACACACCGATGAATGAATTCTTCTTGGAACCATTTCCTAGAAAACAATATCTTGTGGAACCAGAAAACAATACCCAATATGCTGTAGCATATACTCCACAATTTACACACTTCCTGTAGGATGTTTGAAATAATTGACCTATCATAATTCTAAAATGTCTTTCAGACATCTCTGGATGTATAACATGCATATGTATTTCTGCACTGGAGCCTGAGTTCTCACAGTATCATGCAGTCTCCAAGACTTCAGGTTTCCATGACTCTTTCTTTCAGAATCACAAACCTTGTTAGGAAATGCAAGTCTCTAAGCCTAAGGGATGGGAGCAATGCTCCACTGTTAACCTGGAGAGGACAGTCTAGTAACCATTGATAATACACTTGAGAGTTCTCTTCTCTGGCTCAGCGAGTAGAAATGGTTCCAGATTTGCTGTTCAACTTCAGTAAGGTGGCATTGCTGCCAACACCATGTTAAGTGACAGTGCACAAAGAGTCCTTCTACCCCAATCCAAAGAGAACAGAAAGAAGAAGAACTGGTCCTAGTAGACAGCAGAGGCAGGATCTGCAATTGTTATAACCCTTTGCTGGTTGACATCACAGAGAACATCTATGGCTATTTGATATATAGAGTTACTAGATGATCCAACTCTGACCCATGAGACAGAGTTAAATTTTCTGGCTTCTTTTCTTTTCCATAGGGTTGATGGCAGTAAGAATATATACTCAGACTAACCTGCTTTAAAGTTATTTGAAGAATTTCTTCTGTATGTGATTTTACCACTAACTTACTATAAACTGAATTTATTTTGCTTTATGTTTTGGGCTTTTGATATCAGGAAACAGTTTGCATATTTTTAGAGGGGTAAAAATAATTACATGACTCCAAATTTGGCAATAACATAAGACAAACAATCGAGAAATGCCACAATATGAATGAGTCCTGAATGGTGGATAAAAGAGGCCAGGCCAAAAGGACTACATCCTGCCCAATGCTACCTATATGACTTTCTGAAGAAGAAAAAACTCCAACAACAGAAACCAGATCCCATTGCCAAGAGCTGGGGTTGAGAACGAGGATGATTAGAAACTGGTGGCGGGGCCCAGCCCAGCAGTTTGTGACTTACTGATGTAATACCAATAATTTAGATGCTAAGGGAAGGTTGCCATGAGTTCAAGACCAGTCTGGGAAGCAGAATGACTGCTAAACTGAGCTACAATATGAGATCCATCATGGTAATAATAATAATAAATAATTAAACAAAAGACACAAAAGTGGAAAAGAGACTGTCCAGATAAGAAAAAGGGAATAGTAGGAGATGGAGGGGAGCAGAAAAGTCAAAAGTACATGATAAACTTGTATACAAACATCTTTATGAAACCCATTACTCTATCAAATTAGTATACAACAAAAAATCCTACTATATCAAAGCCAGGACTCTGAGGATGCAACTTGGTGATAGAGCACTTGCTTTAGCTTGCCATAATCTCTGGGTTCCATCCCCACTACTGAAAAAAACAAACAAAACAAACAAAAGGCTGGGCATGGTGCACTCCTACAATAACAGCATTTGGGGGCCTGGAACAGGAAGAAAAAGAGGAGGATGGGAGAAAGGAGAGAAGAGGGGATGAGGATGGGGAGGGGGGGAGGGAAGAAGCAAGAGACAGGGGAAGGGATGGGAGAGAAAGGAGTCTCTTGTGGCGCTAGAAATGTGTATGTTGTTAGTCACAGTAGTTATGTGACCGTCAGACATACTATGTCATGGTAGTTACTTGTGTTTGTCAAATCTTATAGTCTCCAAAAGGGTTGAATTTCCCTTCATATAATTTGTTGTTTAGGGGACATAAAGGAAGAGAAGGACAAAGAAAAAGGCAGATAAGAAATAAAATCAGTTTCTAAAACTGAAAGCCAGATTCTGTTTTGTCTTATACTGCCTGCAATGCTGTAAATATCTGATTTGTTTATCTATAAGGGCTAGATTGCCTTTTCCAGTACTGTGACTGTGGGTCCTGAAATAGCCTTGAAACATCATGTTGACAAAATCCATTGTGTGTTTGGGACAGGATTTTATGAGACAGTATGAGCAAAGAAACTGCTTGTCTATGCCTTTGAAATATGTAGGGCCTCAACCCTGTTAGGAGGCTTAAGACCAGGGCTCTGGAAATCTTATTTAAGAGACACAGGTGGGCTGATGGTGTCCTCTGAATAGAAGGCAGAAAATGTTCCCAGTTTTGTTCAAACCAGTGAGTCATTTTGAGTGAATTTGTTAAGAATAGCAATTCCTTCAGGCAATGGGCATCGCTCATTACCAAGGCTGGGAAGAGATGGCAGCCCACTCAGAGGAACAGTTTTCTCCTCTGTGCCCTCCTAAACCTAAAAGCAGGCACATGTTCTCATCTGTCTGTCTTTCTCCTTCCCTCGATCAGGCCTCTCTACCAAGCACATATCCCTCATGCCCCTTTTGTGCTGATCGAGCCTGAGACTGGTCAATTACAGCCTGTAGAGACAAAAAAGCTGAAGATAAAAGCAAAACCCCCACTTTAGCAATGGAACCCTAACTGCTTGGAGCCTGAGTGACCCGTGATGCCTAATATAAACAGTTAGAGCCTAATTCCTAGTGAAATCTGTTGCCTAACCTCAAATGGCCAGTCTCAAGAAGGAGCCTGGAGGATCATGAAACTTGCTTCCTAAGACCTGCAAGATGGTTCAGCTGATCAAGATATTTGTAGGTAAACCTGCATTGCTAAGTTAGATCCCTGGGTCCTGTGTGGTAAGAGAAAGAGATAGCAGATTTTAAAAGTTGTCTCGTGGACTGCACTTACATACAGGTAACAAATAAACATAAATTTTTAGCAAAGAAACTTATTTCTTAACAAGTTAGTGAGCTCCCCTCACTTATCTCTCACTTATCCAAATGATACCCCCACACAAATGATCCTTAAGGGAGTTTTATTATTATAAAAAAAACAGAATTATTCTGCTTGGAGGGGACACTCATTCTCTCTGTCTCTTTGTGTGTCTGTCTCTGTATGTGTGTGTATTTTTGTACACAGTGTCCATTCTTTAAACTCTTATTTCAGTTCTGGTCTAGTAAACCTCCCCTGCCCCAGACTCCTCTTTGGGCTCCATTTTCCCAATCCAGCATTTGGTGGCCTAGCTAGGAAGCTGTCCCCTTGCTCCCTTTAGATATATATTATGTGATATGTTAACATGATAAAGTTCCACAAAAGGGTTTGATTCAAATAGGTCTCTATGTTTAAAA